ACACGAACAATGTGCCAGCTTTGGAATGGTGCTGTCTTTCAAAAAAGAAAAGGGTTTTGCTTTCAGACATGCTGCTTAGAAGGTGAGTGTGCAGCACTACCACGGAAAGATTTTCATACACACACACACACACACACCCCCACACCCACACACCTACCTTCTTAGCAGCAGTGGTGACCACCCAGCACCCTCCCCAACAGCACAACTAATGCTCTCTGATAGTTGTCTGTGCTCAGGGAAGTCCTTTTCTTAGAACTAATTTCCTCTTCACTTACACACTGTGCCTTACCTTGATCTCCACTCCTTGCACTTAAATAGCTACTGCCCTTGCTTGTACAGTAACAGTAATCCAAGACATCAGTACTCTTAACTTGCACCACAGTATCTCCTAATATCACTAGATTTTCCTTTTTATTTTGTAAAGGCAAGCTTAGCCATAGTGTGAAACTTCACATGGCAGAAAATCAGGAATGAATGAACCTCTTCCAAAGAATGCATCAGAATTTGCAGACAAATCACTTTTGAGAGCAACTGTTCCAATAAATATAGTCACCAAGGGCCTCAAAGTTGCCATGCAGCAAGATACAAGGCTTAGTAATTTAATTCCCGTGTTCTGCCTGGACAGTGTCTGTAAACCAAGCCCTAGCAAAGTGAGTAGCAACGCACAGCAGAGGAGCCACAAAGATACCCCAACTGCTGTGGAAGAAATGTTGGGTATAAATGATCATGTTCAAAACAAACCCATGTCTGGTCAGCATTCAGCACAGAATGGAAATGTTGTCTTGGACATCAGCAAAGTCAGGGACGTGGACTCAAGGCAGCAAAAACACTGAATTAGACAATGGTTTGGGGTAAACTCAGCATCTGAGTGCAGCTGCGGCTGCCGTGACCGTCAGCAGGATGAACGTGCTGCTGATCAGTACTGACTGTTTTGAGGAGGACCAACCCTTGCTTTCATAGCAGATGCTTGGGAAAACGGGAACCTTGTTGAGCCAAGCACTTGTACAGTACTTATTGTTAGTGGCAGCTGTGTATAAAGCTGTGCTTCAATTAAGAGGGAAAAAAAAGATATAGAAACCCAGCCTGCTGGTGCATGGACACAAGGCAAGGCAACAGGCTAGGAGGAGAGAAAAAGTATTCAGGGAAGAAAGCAGAGCAGGTGCACAGGGGCTGTGAAGTGCAAGGGATTCCAGGGAAAGGCAGAAGTTAATTTCAGACACATGCAGAAACTGAGAATATATGAACAAGATGCTTCACTGTTCTGCTAACCCGTAGTCCCTTACTGTAGGTTGCAGCTTATAACCCTGACAGAGTGAGGTATGTTACATCCTCAGCCTGTTGGGTAGAGTTCAAAGCATTGCACTTGAAAAGTGGTGACACAGTGATTCAGAGGAGCCCAGAATTCAGCCTCACAGTTCAAAACACCATGTGTATTGCAGCCACCACATGCTCAAAGCCCATCTGCTACATTGATGTAACCTCTAGCTTCATTTAAATGCTGGCTTTAGGCAGTGCTATAGAGAGACATGAATACCAAATTGATGATCCTGGCAATCTAGAGCATTAAACATTTTATCTGGCTGGCTGGACAGTCCCATTGTTTGAACAACCCTGAAAGGGCTGACCGTGTTGCAGCACAGTGATTCACTCAGCCTTTATCATAATCCACTGACTAAGATAAAATTTCTTCCTGTGAACAGACAAACAAGTAGAGGAGCGTCTGCTGTTTGTTGAATGTGTGATAATAAATGGAGATTAACTGGATAATAAAAACACTGCCTATTTACAGCCACGCATCAATTCCTTGCCAGAGGACACCTATTTATTCAGGGAAAAGGGATTAAACTAAAGTCTGAGAGAGAAAGGATTACACATACCCACATTGAAATGTTTATCTGAAAACAGATTGGGCCTGAAAGGTATTTTCTTCCTCTTCATTCTCTCCAATGCAGGACACACTATAGAAATGAATCTCAGGTCTCTTGAAATGAACTCATGTGTTTGGAAAAATAAAAGGAGTAATTGCTGATGCTGATTAAGGCTATCCTACACACAGCACAGAGATGGTGTCCCAGGCACTCCAGCTCTGAATGCTGTAGGCAGAGAACAGCACTGGCAGAAGCTGACTGGTCAGCAGGAACACACTCCTGCTCATGGCAAGTTCAGGCCCACCCTTGGTGGTCCCACTTTCTGCAGTAGCAAGAAACAGTTTTAGTTTCTCAGGAGGGGACAAGTGAAAAAACATGAAAGGAATGGAGGCGGCTTTGACACTCCTGAAAGTCACTCCAATGAATGCGGAGCTTCTTCCTGCCACTGGAGGGAGAGCGAGAACCTTGAAATTCTCAGGAGAGCGATGAATTGAGCGCAAGCCTAGTTCAGAGCGCAGAAGGACAAAAGTGCCCTCACCCAAAGGACAGTGACAGTGCACTGGCTCTCTTCCAGGTCTGCAAAGGATGGCCGTGTCAGAGCTGCCAGGCAGCCTTGCTTGGGAGAGTGCTTCCCTCCCAGCTGCTGCCTCCCACAGCACATCCCCTTCCTATGCCTTGGTGAGGCTGCTCAGGCTCCCATACACCACTCCACTGGAAAGGAACTTGCACGTGCACAGAACAAAAGCTGGGATGTGCTTCACCAGACATCAAAATCCTCTGAGGGCTTGCTGCAATGGAAAAGACCTGCATGCTGTTTTGACTAGCTGAATTAAAAGAAATTACCACCGGGCCTAAATGTGGTTTGTGAGCACAAATGCAGAGTTTGAGAGTCTCCTTGGGCCTTTAGTGAGTCTCTTATCAATGTCAACAAGAATCGTGAAGAGAAATCATAAAAAAGAACAGTCCTTGTCCTGGAACTAAACAATTGGTTATCCATTTGTTACTTTATTGTTATCCCATGGGGAAAAAAAGATGCAGTTTTGGGACACTCCTACTTTAGCCGAGCATCTTCTCTGCTGTACTAATGTTCCGTGCTCCTTGGATCTTAATCTCACTCCTTTCTTCATTGTTTCTTCCCCTCAAAATGGCATGCAACAATGTATGCTGAGCCTCATACTGCTTGCCAACAGCAGGTTCTAGGGTCACCCAACACTGAAGACAGACTGAAGCTCTTGCCTTCTGCAACAGCTGCCTCTGGTCACATCTTGTACAGGTAGCTTTGCAACTGCACAGAACCAGCATAGAATCATAGGATGGCTTGGGTTGGAAAGAACCTTTAAAGGCCATTCAACCCAACTCCCCTACCACAGGCAGGGACACCTTCTACTAGACCAGATTGCTCAGAGCCCTATCTTTGAATGTTTCGTAAAAAACTTGCCTTGTGTTTTTTATTAACTTGTATTTCAGAGAATGTGCACTTTCATCCATGAGCACATTAAAGGATTCAACAATACACCCATAACAAAAATGATGCTGCAGTGGTTAAGAAATGGGAATGGAAGGCAAGTGTCCCAGAGTTTCATCCCACAGCCATCTTACCAACAACTGTATTATCAGGTCTTATTTGTTTGGTTATTAAGCCAAAGTACATTCTTTCATATCAAATCTTTAGCAGCAGCCCACAGGACCTCATGAGTATCATGTATAATTATTAGAAATGCTAGCACACAAATCCAGTTAAGCAGGCTCTCAGGGTACAGTTCAGAGTGTAGAAAATGCTTCAAAATCTCTTGTTTGTTAATTAGCCCTGGCAGAACAGCTTCTACAGAACATAATGAAGAGCAGTAAGAAACTGGGACAAGCCCAGGACTGCAATATGTGCCAGCCTAGCCCAAGCTTAAATCAGTAGAAATAAGGAAGATCCTGGGTTTAGTTACGTACTGGACCATGCTGAAAAACTGTTAACTAAAAGAAAGCACAATTAATCTCTTCTGGAATCCCTGGTAAGGCACATTCTTGTTAATTGTCCTAATATTTGTGCTGGTAATTACCGCAATCTCAGTCAATGTCACCATATACTTAAGACAGAAGCAACTTTGGTACAGTTGAATATAAATATATATTTACATAGGAAAGCATATCATATATAGTGATTAGAAGATTAGTCCTTCATGATCCACATCTTCCCAGTCTCAGCAAACTAAATTAAGAGCAGACAAGGGCTGCCTTGTCTGCATTTTACCCCTGCACTAGGCAAAATTCCCTCCTACACCAGGAAGCTAGAGCTCAGGACACCAGGACTGACTATGCACACAATTTTCAATCACATCAGGTTAAGGGAACACATCTGATTAAATGCTTGGTAGATGATGATGAATTTTTTTCCAGACCTCATTGTGGTATAAGTGAATTTACATACTGAAACCCTATTTCCCCACAATATGCAGAATTTCCATTAGTGTCCTTTCACGGAGACTTTTCACAGTTACATCACAGCACTTTCATAAAGAGCATAAGCAAACTACCATGTCCTGGAAGAAGAGCAGCAGGTATGTTTTAATAAAAATCACAGTGGCTTTTTTTTTGGGTGGCCGTGACAAAATGCAGATAGAGGTTCTTTTTGGAAGAGAAAGGGCTGAACAGACCTTTTTGCAACCCCTCCTTGCTCAACAACTCTGTGCTCTAGCCAACCAACCTGGCAAGCAAATGCACTGCAGCAGGAAAACAAAATTAAAAGAAAAAAAAAAAAAAAAAAAAAAAAAAAAAAAAGAGGTGCAAGCTTTGCAATTTAGCATGAAGAAACATGGTCATGAGAACAAGTGTGAGTGATGGAAGAGAGTGGGAAAAAAGACTGATCTCTAGTTAATTGAGACATTTAAGTGTAGAAACCCCTATACTTAGGCACCCTAGTGCCTTTTTTAAGAAAGACTAAAGCAGGCACCACACAAGGGCTAGTTCTCAGGTATCTTCAGATACCTGATCACAGTCATAAAGCCTGGAATTACTGTAGAGAAAGCTACATCTATAGATGCCATGTTTGGAAAACATTCAAGAACTCAGTGTTAAATTCACTGTTTGATATTCATACAGCTGAGAGAAATGCAAAAATAAAGCAATAAGGGCCAGGGAAAAGGTGTTTGCAGAACTGTAACAAGATGAATTGGAAGCAAATCAATACACACAGGTTAGCATACAGAGTCCAGAAGCTGTGATGACCTACATTAGCAGTAGGTGTAAGCCATCTTAAATCATGTCCATCCAAACAACTCTCAGAACCCATGGCATGTCAACGTGGATGACCATATCCATTTGTGTTACTCACTTCCTGAATAGGAAAGACCAGGAACAGAAAGCAATTCAATTCCTCTTTTTAACAAGGTATCTCAGAGCAAATCACCAAAGGTGAATAAAGGGCATTAGCCTTCATTAGTAGATCAGGAAATTAAGGTAGCAAAAGGTTGTGTGATTTGTTCAGCATTACACAAGAAGACAGCAGCAGGGCCAAAGAACAGTCAGCATCCTGCCCTCCAAACCGTAACAGCAGGTGCTAAGTCCAAAGCATCTAGTGCCTTCAACAAAATGTATAATCAACACTACTCACAAATTACATTAATATAGGCATGCAGTTGTTCTTCCTATGGGTGCCTGTGCTGGATCATGTATCTAAAAAGCAAATATCAAAGAGAATTATCTATTCACTTCGTGACTGGAGACTCTGTTTGCCCTTTAGCCTTCCTTCTGCAAAAACAACTTTCACCCGTCAGCCCATCTGATGCAAAAATGCTCTGAAGGAAAGAGTATTAAGTCACCAGCAACACTGCACATACACTTGTACTGCATTGAAATAGCACTGAATTAAAATGAAAATGTCACATTTCTGTTGGGCTGCATGTTAACCCACATCCTATTACAGTCCTGTAGGAACACACAACACACTCAGTGCTCCTGCTTATGACACTAAGGAGTCTTCTTAGAAGTTAGAAGCTTCTACCAATTTAAGTACTTATATGAATTTGGCCTATTTTCAGCAAGGACTATATGACACGTCATTAGGAGGAAAACTCTGGGCAAGCAGCAAAAACCAAAATTGTCAATGTTAAATCCACAACACCGACCACAAATACGGCAAATTAATTCCTAACGAGCCTTTCAGTGATGACGCACACACCAGTGTGCCAGCAGATCTGTGTCCTGAATTAAAGGGTCTGTTGGTTTCAGTTGTCTTTAGATGAGAATTGTCATTCACCAGGAACATTCTACCATGGAAAGAGATACAGCAGCTTCTGACATGGGCTTCGTCAACTCATTTGGTAGAGCCCACATTAAGCCAGTCCTTACTGGGTCATAATTTACTGCTGCAATTCAAACCACAATAGGGATTCTCCAGCAGTTTTAAAAATAGCCAGTCTCTCTAAAATTTGTCAAGGAAATAGTGGGTTTTCTCCATGTCCACAACTGTTGCAGCAGCCTCCCAGTCTTGCAATAGTCTCTTTGCAAGATGTCCAGCTGCAAGGCAGAGAAAACAGCTTGTAAACTGAAAATGTTTTTTTTCCCCAGGTAAATTACACAAGGAAAATTATTCTCTTTCCTTGTACTACCAACTCATCAAATCCTCTCCTTCACTTTCCCATTAAAAAAGGCTGTTAAAATAACTCCTCCTCAGAGTTGGTATTTTGCAAATCTCTATTCCTTGCTGCAAAGATCAACCAGGTGAAAACCAAGTAACTTTAAACAAAATTGCTTATACTTCATCCACGGAAGGACTGAGAATCCTTTTGCTTTCACAAAGGAAGATGATGAATTCATCAGAACTAAAAATCTCTGTTGTTGCAGAAGGACTGTAAGGAAAAATACTGTCAAATCAAAATTATCTGTAAAAACATCATCTCTTTTTAATTTCCTACATTTAATCTCCCCATATAATTTATTCCTCAAAAAAAGCCTCTCATTTTCAGGAGCTTTCTAATTGCTATCTTACTCACTTCATACAATCTCAAAATTAACATGTCTAACAGAAAAGACTAAAATATAAAAAAAGACCCTGCATTACTCAAAACTATTCACTCAAAGGTAACAAGTTCAACTACATGAGCTCAATTTGCTGGCTTCCCCAAGCTTCTAGATACACTTCATTGCTTTGTGCTTTTTTTATTTCTTCTTTATTCTTTCCTATCCAAACATAAACATTTATCTTCACTTACTTATAGGAAATTGTGGTACAATTCCTCCAGTGATTCTCTCCTGCCTTTTTTCTCAAACACCTACTCTTCTGAATGGATGGTCTGTCCTTTTAAGAGAACTCTTGTGTCTAAACAAGAAAGGTCATAGTCTTAGTATCTGTCTAAATGGAACACAACTGGGTCTTATCAAATCCTGATGACAGCTCAATGTTTACAACACTGCACAAAATAGAGTAAAATGCTGCTAGAATAATGACTCTGCAGACAAACAGTCTGACGTTAGGACCTGTTTTTGCACATCTTTGTCCTCATGATCATCTTACAACCAGAAGTACATCAGGACATTCATGTACGTATGACGTACATTTTAAGTGGCATTGCAATTCACCTGTCCAGGTTATTAAGCAAAGAACACCGATTAAGCCCTATCTCTATTGCATAAACAGCTGTTTCCCAAGAGGCTTTCATGAGCATATTCTGCATTTGTTTTGCATACAAGGTAAGAGCAGAACACAAAACAAATTGCAACTGGCTGAGAACAGGACAAATGGTAAGAACAGAGACAAGGGCATTTCTTTTTCTTAGACACTTATAATTTAGCAGTGTGACTGAAGGCAATCACAGGATGAGAATGTTCTACAGCTTCTTTCTTGACCACAGGATTATGCCTATGGCACTGGACAAAATGCAAAGCAGAGAACTTCTTATCAGCAGCAGTGAGGTGGCAAAACTGAAGCAATCAGGTCTTCAATACAACAGCAGTTTATTTACTCTTTTCCAAACTCTGGAACATATTGCATACCAAAAAAGGGGGATCAACACTCAGACACTGAGAGACCTAAATTTTACTAACATGCACAAATTTTGAGCACAAGATGGTAGTTCACATACTACAACTACCAGCAGTTATGACAGACTCTGCTTACTCTTCTGCTTATCTACCACGCAGAAAGATTAACAGCAGTCGTCCATATTCTCTACTCTTGGATAATTTCATGTTGCCAGAATTCCCAAAGACGACACTGCTGGGACCTATATCACCACACGATCCAAAACACAGGAAGTCAACTGTTCACTCCCACAATATATTTTGTAACAAGCTCGTAAACATGAAAAGATCACAAAAGCAGACTGTAATCTATCTTGGCCTTTCCCAGCAAAATCACTGACATTCCCCAGAAGCTTAGGAATGCTCACAACATTGCAAGTCCCCGTGCTGATTTAGCACCAACATCATACTCTGCAGCACTGAAATAATGAAACACAAGATTCTTGTCACCACTCCACCAATGGAGATCATCTATTACATGCAATAACCAGAATATTCTAATGCTGCACACACTACGGACAGGACACCCAACCATCCAGGCTAAGCAATTTTGCATATGCAGATACACAGCCATGTTTATTTTGTCCAAACGAACCAAGTGAGAGCTCTTAAAACATGATTTTCATATAAAGTTCATATTAAATGATTCCACTGGCAAAAATAATCAATCACTCGATATTACTCCTTGTAACTTTGTAAGATTTGCGTTTTTAAAAACATATGCTAAAGAGGGAGAAGGCAGAACAGTCTTAAGCATTATGAACTCCTAAATTCCATGCAAAAGGCAGAAGTTAGACACTGGAACAAGTTGATTTTTAACTAGCTTTCCTTACCATGACTCTCCTAACATTTTATTTCCCAATAGTGAACTACACCATTTTTGAGTCCAAGCAGCATCTCTTTCAGCACAAACACCCAAGTAACTGTTACTGACATACCTTTCCAGAATCAACCAGTTCTGCTATTTCATCCAAACTTGGGCCACTTGGCATGAAAAATGCCCACCGATAATGGACTCCTTTAAGGAGATGCTGCAAGAAAGATCACAAATCTATTAAAATATCATGAGAGCAAACTGAAATGGGAACTAAAATTAATGACAGAATCTCTGAAGAAGTAACTTGAGGAAAAGATATGGAAGTTATATATGCTAGTGTTTGAAAATAACTGCACCTAAGCATGTATATGAAATGTACAGACCAGTATGTTACCACAACAGGATCAGGGTGAATTTTGTGTCCAATTGCACAAGTCAGCTAGTAGAGAAAAACAATTACCTTGTCTCTGCAGCTAGAAACAGCATTATTTGTTACATAAGAGAGAAACGGTGTTAGGCGTTCATGTACACTCACAAAGGGGGTGAAATAAACCCAGCAATGTGACATTCAGAACCCTTCACTTCAGCATCAGTGACTTCATTTTCCACCATAATATCTGCCAAAGTCATCACTGTCCAACGACAGATGGCAGCTCACATGAAAAGCATTTTGGGAAGATCTCACACACACAAGTCAAGAGCATCTCCTCTGAGTAATTCATTACAGGAATAAAAGCCATCATCTGCCAAAGAGAGATTTTTATATATGGCATAGAATCCTCTTCATTATGGAAACCTGCACACTGAGAAATAATATTACATTATTTCTTTCCCACCTTTTCATTTTGTCTTTGGGCTTTCTTGTGAGAGTACTGCTGCAGGACTTAAAATCCCATTCAGCCAAACCTTCACAGGAATACCATAGCAACTGCCTGAAAAGCATTCATTTGGAGAGCAAGTACATAAGCATAGGGAAGAAAGAGAAAAGTTCTAAAAAGCCCTACTGATCTGGCCACTGGCAGAATGTTTTAAGATCCACTTATGAAAACTGGAAAAATCAGTATCACCATCTAGACACATGAGCATGAAAGAGATGAAAGACTTCCTAGCCACCCTCGACCATGGTTATTGCTCTCTGGTGCTGGAACAGGATGAAGAGAATCAGTCATGGAACAATGTTTTTGAGAGAAAGCCTGACCAGCCTAAAGCAAGTAACAAAACTGCCCTCACTTCACTGAGGCAGGGATTTGCTGTGTTTACTATGAAACCCTGGCTGTCAGCAGGACTCACCAGGGAGGCTATATGGAAAAGGCCACAATGGAAAGCACAATAAGGAATCAAACTTCAAAGCTCCCCAAACTACTACATACACCCAGCAGCACCACCCTAACACATTTCTTTTCAGGGCAAGAAAGAAATAATAGTATACTTAATGACATATGAGGACAATGCAACAGCTGCCTCTCCGTGAGCTCTGTAAATGACATCCAAGCCACAGAAGTAGTCACTAAAGTACTACAAAATATCAAAGTGCATAGGATTTTGCCAAATACCTTTAGAGTTTTGGAACCAACAGTGACTCCTGTTTGCAACATTCCATCAGCCACTCCAAGTTTGTCCATATTGATAAGGAAAGGTGTCACTAAGGTAACATACGTTGCTCCTGACCATTTCTTCAAGAGATCTAGTGCCCACTTCTCAGTGGATCCACCAACATTATCTAGGATAAAATCAAACCTGCAGACATATAAAGAACAGGTTTAAAATCTTGACACAGCAAAAATAACCTCACTGGAATTAAGCTAATTAACAGCAGAAATCAGCTCTACTTCACATTTTTTCGTGTCACTGCAATGCAATAAAATAATCACCCTTGCAAGATAGCAGCAAGGAAGTCCCAAGACTTCAGCAAAGTCCCATCTTAATGTACAATGGGATTTAAATTTACAGGTTATTGCCCATTCACTGTGCAACAGACACAGGCTATTAAAAAAGTACACTTAAACTCCAAAAAGCAAACTTAGATGCAGAACTACATTCTGTACTTGCTTAAAGCCTTCTAGAGCTCTATCTCTTCAGTCCTCCCATAGAGACTACTGGAACAATCCTGAGGTCTCGCACTGAACAATATGGTATGTACATGTAAAAGCTAGTCTGGACTCATGCCCTCAACTAGAAACAGCTCCTGTACATGCTGTACTCACATGAAAGTCAGTTCTAGTGGATAAAATTACGTAAATAAATTATTCTACTAATGCTTATTTCCTCACATCTTTTCTGTGACCCAATTCTCAGTTTCACTTCTCCAAGTTTGGGTTTTTTTACCTCCTTATTTATTTAGAGGTCATTTTTCCTCTCCTGACAGCTCTTTTCTTCACATCTACCTATTTAACATTGAACCTAACAATGCAAAGGATCTAAAACCTTCCCCCCATGGAATGGGTATATGCAGCCTCTGGCAAAAAGCCAGTTTCACTATTCCTTCTCATTATCCCAGCACGTGAGGCCTGTAAAGGCTGAATAGGGCAACAGGGAGCTATGCACCTGTTCTGTTAAATGTACAACTCATTCTTGTTTTCACCTGTAAATTTCCAGCAATCTCCAGATTGCAATAGATATGTATATACACATATGTCTAATCTAAATAACCTACAAATAGGAGGGAAAATACTTCATGTAGATTAAATAGAAAAGTCCTTATCTCTCTGGAATGACAGTTTTCCTGCCTGTTTTCCAAGGGTGTGATTTCATGTTTAAAGTTCAGTTAATGTAATAGTTAGCTGCCAGCATTCAAGACCATGAAACTAATGCTCCTGGAAAGAGTAGCTGACTCTAAAGAGTCAGTACAGCTGACTGATCAGCCTAGTTGGATCATTAAACTGCACCCCAGGACACTGTTGCTGTATCTCTTAGAAAGGGTCACTTGCTAGAATGGGTGTTTAGCATTTAAAGTGTTGAACTGCACAAAGGCAAATTTAGCACTGACTGCAAAGTCTGTCCTGCCATACAGTGTCACTGCCCTCAGGCCTGCTGACAGTCACACTAGTTAAAGGGCACATGGCTTCTTAGAAGCACAGTTGCCACTAAAATTCTCCCACAGATCCAGCAGCTTCTATTTCCCCTCCCAGAAAGTTAGCTCAATCTAGCTAAAAAGAGTGGTGTAAGTACTGTATTCAAATACAAGTCACAGTAGACTACATTTAAACAGATGGAAAGATTACAAAAGCAAAAAATACTTCTGTTCTTGAGAAAAATCCCAGGCTAGTTTAAACATAGCTGCTGTGACAAGATAAATGTGAATGTTTTCAGAGGCAGCTGTATCCAATGTAACAGAAGAGAAATTTACTCCGAGTTGACTTGCACAGTGGCAAGTCAGTGCTTCTTTATGATATAGTTCTTTCCTCTACAAGATCAATTTTATATTTACCAGCTTTGCTCAGGATTTCAGAGAATTATGTCAATTTATTCAAGCATTGTATATTCTCCAACATACTTGGATGGAAGCTACAAAACTGTTCTTATCACAGTCATTGAAAAGAAGCACGTGGAAGTGAGCTTGTCTCCCAATTCCTGGCTTAGTCTTACAATGAAATCTGTGATGGGTATACTCACTTGCAAACTGCATTCAAAAAGGTGAATCTGCTTTACAAAATAATGCTTTAGAAACAAGGGGGAAAATTTAAGGAGTTCTGATGGAGTCAAGCAATCAAAAGGCAGAAGGTCTGACTGCCAACTCCTTCATCTCAGTATTAAGCAACACAAACACTCACAATGGTAATGCTTTAAGCTGCTCTTCCAGATTTCCAGACTTGTAATCAATCACATCATCTGCTCCAAGCTTTTTCACCAGTGTGCTGGCATCATGAGAGCAAACTGCTGTCACGTGAGCATCCCAGGCCTTCATTAGCTAAAAACAAGTATTAAGAAAAAAAAGAAGTCCAAAGATTAAAATTTATTGAAATACTGAGAACAACTTAAAAGGTAAAGTCTCATTATATTTATATAACAAATGAGCAGCTTTAATGAGGAGAGGGAAGATTGTTCCAATACAGGATAATTTGTTACAAATCCCACAGACAAAATAAAGACTAGAATTTATCAATATTTAAGGTGGTTGTAGGGAAGGAGGAGTTGGTGTGAAGGAAGGAGTGTGGGGGGTTTTTAATGCCACTGAAAGATACCAGGTCTCATGACAAATAAGACTCTCAGTTTGCCATCTGAATCTGCCAGCAAAACATACACCAAGAGGTACTGTCCAAGTTGCTAATCTACCAAACTATCACCAGACATATCATTAAATATTATTAAATATGCCCTTTCATATTTCATGTTGCTGCAAATAGATTAAGTACCAGTAACAAGAAAAAGAAGGAAGTCATCTCTGATTTACCACAGGGGCAGTATCAGGTTATCTTCTACTCCAAAAGCTATAGCGAAGTAAATGATTTTTGCTAGTTATTTATCTCTTTTTGCATCTCATTTTTTCATTCACGGTAACACTTTTTACCTTTATTGTAGGTTAATTAACGTCGTTTATCCAGGATTGATCAGTTACAAATTGTAACTAGTCAGTGGCTAACCAGCCTTTCATACTGAAAGTCACCTGCTTTATCATGGATCAGGCAAATAGTGTACCACGAAAAATTCTGCTGTAAACCTCTTTAAAACCACTGTGCTTATGGCCTAGTAACATGGAAAGAAGTGATGCAATCACCCAATTTCTGTATTTTTTTTATAATCTTGAGAGAAAGATTTTTCAGCATGAGATAGTAATTAGAATCAAAACTCCCAAATTAACTAAGAGCATGAAAGAGGATGTTCCACAACTAATGAAGCAACAAAAGAGCATGTTGATTTTCCAAAGTTTAGAGCTAATGGAACAGACAGACAAAAGGGCAGCAGGGCAAAGACAGTGAGAGAAAGTAGATCTAAGCCTCTGTGCTTTACAGCCACTGCACACAAAAGCCTGATGGCCTCTCACATCGTTTGACCAACTACAGCAGTTGTGGTAGGTGACATTCTCCATCAGTTTTCCTGCTCATACACCAAGTTCTGTTCATATTTAGAGTGCAGAGCTGAATGAAAAATAATGAGAACAGGCCACATATTTCAAGTTACACCAATCAGAGATTTCCTGCACCCAAATTGTGAAATGTAATCTTACACACAACTCCCTTCTTTGAAAGTCCTTGCCTCCTATTTTAAAATAATACAACATAAAAAACAGAAAGCAATAAATATGAAAATGCTTTACTTTCGGAAATACCAATTATCTCAATCAGGCAGACTGATCAGTAGCTTGCTATTTCTCTCTCCCTCCTCTCAATTCCCTTCTGTTATTCTTTTTTCATACTGAAACTCTTGAAGATTCATCCTGGGCATGCTGGATAATATTACCTGTACAGCAAATGTACCAACTCCTCCTGAAGCTCCTAATATTAATATTCTGTAAGAGAAAATTAAAATATATTTAATAGTTCTTTAAATAAGCTCTGGAGTAACTATGTATTCTAATGTTTCTTATACATCTCTGATGCTGAATTATTTTTAGCAAAAGATTGGTTTTGTCATTCAATGTTATTCAAGAGTGGTTAACTGTTCAGACATGTGACTTAACATTGCTGATCAAGTGTCTTGTGCCAAAAGCATTATTTCAGCACAGCCAAAGAGACTTCCTCATATGTGCTTTCCACTAAATGCAGGCAGTGGAGTTGTCAGGTAATAGCATTTATACCACTCAAAAACCCTGTACCTGTCCTCACTTTCCCAAGCATAATTGTTTAGTTTGGCAAAAATTCAGTTAAGAGTCCTTTCTGTCTCCCAGACTCTACTGTCATCTCTCCTAAAGAAAAAAATCCAATTCACCAACATTTTACATATATCGGTCTTATCTAAGAGAAAAATTAGTTTAGTATCACATTATTTAAGGAGACTGTGAACTGCAGAACATGTGGAACATAATTTTCTCATATTGCATACTGTTTATCTAAAAGACAAAAATACAATTAAGTACCCTCACCATTAACAAGTTTAATTTCCATTAAAATATCTTTTTCTTTAGAAAAAAGGCAGTACAATTTTTCTAGTTTCTTCCAGTACATCTCAACAATACCCTGTAAATGCCAGCTTGTGGAAACTGGCACATAAGCAAGAAAATGAAAGAGTATATTGCCAAATTATTAGCAAATGAGAGTTCATTTTAACTGATAACCCTAAATTTCAAAAAAAACGAATACAAGTTTACTTGTGTGAGTACCTTACTACTAGAATCACTGCTCAAAAATTTCATTCAAATATTATATTAAATAACTAAACATCAAAAAGTGAGTTAGTAAGAAAACCTTGCAGCTCAAGTTGCAAACAGTGCTTTGACTTTGGATCCATTTGCTAATTCTAGGACAAAAAAGAAGATCCAAGATGAAGTCCTGGCATAGGATTGGGGAACATCATGTTTCTCAGAGCTTCTGTTTGCCAGAAAAATCTCAGAATCTTCAGAAGCTGATGAAATTCCTGTTCTAAATCTCACAGTAAAAGATGTTGGAGGAAATTGCTTTTTACAGTACAAAACTGTACTATACAATCTGGAGTCTCAGTTTACAAAAGTTCTTTGAAGTAGCTTAAGAGACTTGGCTTTGGTCACACTATCCATTTTAAAATGCTCCTTTTGTAAGTGATCAGATACTGTTTCCTCCCATTTCATTGATCCAAACTGCAAAATTCAGATTAAGAATATGACACCACAATACCACAAAGGCTGCAGCTTTTAAATCTGCCAAAATGTACTTATCCTCAGAACCAGGCTTCTAACGACAGATGCCTGGAGCAACATGCATATTTCAATTTCAGTATACTTGAAAAGGCTCCAGGATACTACACTCAAGATAGTGGGTTAAACCCATCTTTATCCTTGAAAAGGACAGTCAAAATGAGATGCTTCCAAAACACCTTTTCAAACCACCTTAACGATTTCACTCCTTAGTTAAAGGGCATTTCTTCTACTACATATTTGGGGGAAAGCTGACACCTTAAAATGTACCATTTGCTCAAAGGATTTAGGTAACATTTTCAGTTTGGGAAGAAGCTTGGCTAGGACATTTTTTTTATTTTCCCCTTCAATAAAAGCTCTCAAGATTCCTTCAGGTAGAAATACTTTCTAGATTTGGCTTGTTCCTATGTTACATGGGCCATTTTCTACCACACCTTCCAATTATTAAGACTCTCTCACACATTGTGACTTCAAGAAAGCTCTTCATTTCTGACATAAACTACGTCTGCACAGGATATCCATGTGCAGCAGCTCAACAGATCAGCATTTTCACAGCACTGACAGCAGCAAGACACACAAGTACAAGGGGGTGTTTGAAGGTGCAGGCCCTGTTAGGACGGTACTGAATGACAGATGGTGGCAAGTGCCAAAGTAGGAAGAGTTTTGTTTGCACTGCCCCAGGAAAACCCAGCCAGGAGAAAACACATCATAGAAACAACTTGTTTTCACTGCCAGGGTGAGCTCAGGAGCAAACTAATATACAAGTATGTACACCAGGCAACAAACTAACAAATCTTCTGACCTGGACAGAGATCCAAGAGAACCCATTTTTCCAAAATAACAAAAGGAACATTAGTACCCCAGGCTTTCCTTCCTTCTGACAGAGGCACAAAATTCACCAAGCTCCCCATGGGGCTCCAGCAGTTCAAATGATCACAGGGAGCAGATCTCTCCAGATAAGCACACCATGAGATTTGAAAGTTTAGCCCATCTCCCTGGGCTCTGCTTGGAACTATGGTGTGGTCAGAAACCAGCATCAGAGAGGCAGGACCTGTTGCAGCTGTGTGTGTCCCCTACCAGAACACACAGAGGGTGGGAAGTAGGGGTTCTAGATCAAGGTCTAATATTTTCTCCAGATTATAAACAATTAAAAATTTTCAGTAACTGAGTTACATGTAAGATAAAAATTTAACAAACTGATCAATTTTATATGGTTATAAAATTAATGTTTTTATAGACTAAATATATCAACTTTATTTAGATATAAAATTATATTTAATTTGATTATGCCAACAAAATGTCACCAGAAAATTTATTCCTGGATCAAGCACTGTATACCCTAGCAGGAAGATTTACAACCTACACTCAATTTGTACTTCTCAACAGATAAAATGATGAAATAACACACAGACGTTGAAAAAAGAATTCTTGCAGTATTATAGTATTCAAATTTTTACTGCAACCATATAAACCAGGAGTGTATGTTTGGTAAGTTACATTAACAGAATCCAGCACCTCTGCCCAGCATAAATGAAAATCTAAGATATTGCCTCTGTATTTAGGTAAATTTTACTTAATAGTAATGTAGCACTTTGAATAACTTCTCAAACTGTCAGGTTTGTTTTTGTCATTCATTTTGTGCATACAGAAAGCAAGACATTTAACAGCTGTTGTTGAACAAGCATATCCACTTTCTACTGAAACAGGTCAGTGGCACATATTAGAAGTTCCAGCTATCCAAAGAGACCTTCAACACAACACAAGAGTAATTTTGAACATTTAGTATAGTAAGAACATTTAGGCTTCTACAAGAATACTGACATTAATTAGAGCGGTATAGAATAAAAACTATGGAAAAATTACTGGAATTGCAGGAGGGTTCACAAACAGTGAGAGCACACTTCAGGAAACTCATAAAAACATAACGTGTGAAAGTATGTGCAGATGGAGCAGATAATCTGTCAGACCAACGTACAGCCAGACACTGGACTAACAGCAAGTACTTCTGGTTAGCCCACTCCAACAGCTTAAAAGAGGCAAAGAGAACAATACACACCAACAGAAAAATCTCACTGCTTTTAAGATGTCTTAACATTGCACTAGAGCACCAGTGAAGTAGCTGTCATCAAGGAATACAGCAGCTCTGGCAAAGTAAGATATTTTTGTGTGCACAAATACCCTTCTATAGAGTTATTTACATACAACTACAAGAGACAAAAAGACTGACATAAAATCACATATGTAGGTAACTTCTTACCAAATATATGATCAAAAGAAATTAGGAAACAGTATATAAATTCTTTTAAATTATTGCCCTGAGATTTCATGGAATATAATTTTGCACAGCTCCTTCAATGCATTTTAAACACCTTCCTACAAGTAATATTTCAGGGGAAAAACGGTACCATCACCTAAGTCATTCACTGCTGGTTTTAAAGTTCAAAATTAATAGATAGGAAATATAATATTTTTAAAGTACATTAAAATGGGTTTTTTGCTGACAGAGTAATTAAAAATGTATTTGGAACATGAAAGTAAGTATTAAATGTAAAGACACATTACAAATGCAGTTTGAATTTTACTGTTAACAATCTAAACACTTACCTGAAAATTGGAAAAATAATTTAAATAAGGCTAGCCTATCAGTGTATCTTTAAGTTAATTATATTTACACGTGAAAATTATGATAATAAAAAGTCTGAATATACTGAAAAGACTGAAAAATAAAAAGGTGATCTTATATAAAATTTTATTACTAGCTAATTTCAATTATGTCTCTTTGAAACTCCTTTAAATTTTGCAATTTCATTTTCTCAAAACATTATTTATCTTTAGAAAAAACAATTACTCAATATTTTCATGATGAAGTTCACTGTGACACGTGAATGACCACTCAGTCAATTGTCTTCTAGAGATGTGGGTGAAGAATTTCAATAGATCTAGTGTCCTTTGCAATGTGTTGCATTACAAAGTATCAGTCAAGATAAGAAGAGGTCAGGCATCCAGACTCCTGCTGCCCAATAATTAGTTTATTACCTAAACTTATGATGCAACATAGTAATTTTAACCATTTTTCAACTCCCATATTTTACTTTTGCCCTTATTTCCATTTTGAAGATCTTGCTATCTCTTTACTCAAACATCCAAAGGTCAAAATAACTGAAAATTTCAATTATCAGGAGAAAAATGATATTTGCTCCAATCTTTCACTGCATTTTTCCTCATCTGCCACTGTCAGATTAACAGACTGATAAACAAAGTCAATTTTTCTATTTCATTGGCTGCTCGTCTTGCACGTTCTTCTTTTCTTGTCTGCATTCCTGACCTCATCAAAGTTCTGGCCTGCAGGTCAAATAAGAGTCAGTCACCTGCTCATTTTTCTCTAAAAAACTGGAAAACCAGTCTGTTCCATATGGCCCACGCATGCAGTGAGTGAGTGAACCACACCTCTGTCCTTGAGAAGGCTTTTTGTGCGTGGCCAGTATAACTGAGAGGGTATTACATTTGGCTAGCTGTCTTAACAGGCAAAAAGGCAAAGTCCCTATAAATTCCTGGAGATAACATCCTCAAATTCTCTGTATAGCCCATATATTACATATACATTGGATTATGATAGAATCATAGAACCGACTGGGTTGGATGGGACCTCAAAGTTCATCTAGTTCTAAAAAGCTCTGTCTGCTGTGGACAGGGACACCCTTCACTGGAGTAGGCTGCCCAGAGCTCCGCCCAACCCAGCCTTAAATACTTCCAGTTATGGAGGTGTGGGCATCCACAACTTTTCTGGGCATTTCATACCTCTATATAGGGACCTCATCTGAGCCTTCCTCTAAAGAGGCCTCTCTTAGCAGCTGTGTAGACAGAATCCATCATCCTCAGACAGCTGATCTTTAGGAATGTCATGGTATAACAGTCTTTATCACTGCTGGACGAGTCTTAGAAGTGGCTCATCAATATAAAAATTAAGAACTTTAGTTTTAGTACCAGAACTATTTACTTACCTTTTCCCACTACAATTACTTTGGTTCAGTCCTCCCACTTGGTTAAGTGCAGACCACGCAGTGAGACCAACATATGGTAAAGCAGCAGCTTCTGTATGACTGAGACATTTTGGCTTAAAAGCTACCTGAAATAAAACCATATCTAAGTCACACAGCAGCTCCTATGTGACACTGAAATATTTTAAACAGCTTTACTGAATTGCAGATTGTGTATTGCACATTTTCAGCCATCTTCAAAACCAGCTGGAGTACAAATCAATCCAAGCACTAAGAAATAAAGTTACTTTGGTACTGAAGAAAAATGCCAGTCTTTACAACTTTGAGATTTTGTTAACCACAGTTTTGAACGTTTACCTCGTTTCCACTAGCTACCACAAACTCTGACAGAGTGCCTTGTTTCCACGGGGGAATTGCTGCCCACACCTAAAACCAAACAGAAAACAACTATCAATTTTTTGTAGCTTTGCAAACAATTGTATGTACACAGAAGTTTCCTTCGTTAAAGAAATCTTTTTTCTGATTCACAGAATGTCTTTACTGTTTATCAGAAACCAGTTTATTTAGCTTATTTAGTTTATTAGCTTATTTTACAAAAAAAAAACCCCAAAAAAAACCCAAACAAAAAAACCCCACAAAAAAACCACAAAAAACCAAACAAAAAAAACCACACACACACCAAAAAAAAACCAAAACAAAACAAAAAAAAAACCCACAAAACTGACTAAATTAAGGACTGGACAGCTATGTAAATAAATTCTGCCATTGTTTTATGTGTAAGACATAATCTTTCAACCCCTCCCCAAACTACTCCCATGCCAGGAAAGCCCAGATTAGAGGGGTGAAGATGGTGCAGAATCAGGATTTGCCATCCTAAAACTGGTGAAATGTGAAAGCAACTGGTGACGGTGAAAGCAAACAGTATCAATATTTCTGTGGGCACCCATAAAGTGCTTCATGGGTTAAGCCAAAGTTCCTACTCCCAGTAACTCAGGACAAAAAAACAACAAATCCCTTCTTGTTAGAATTCTACCTTCAATTAAAAACCAAGTGGCACTTTGAGTGTGCACTTATAAACAAACAAATTCCACCCTTGCTACTGCTGAAATGGACCAAAAACTAAAACACAGAAGGGAAATTAACTTGCAGAAGCAAGTCTCTGAAAGATCATGTTTTTCAGAGAAAAAAATGAAGGGAAGAAAGTATTCTAGGAATTTAGTTCCAGATAGACCTTATTAAGAGTGCAACAGCTTTAGAATTAATTAAGAAAAGAATGAATGCTGAACGTCTCACAGTATATTTTAACTACACATTTTGGAAAAAAATGGAAAATAAGAGATTGGTGGTATCACCTCATCTCCAGGTTTGAAATAAGACACACCCAGTCCACATTCCATAACAACACCAGAGACATCTCGACCAAGTGTTATAGGAAATTCAGTCTCGCCGGTTTTGAGTTTCAGGGGATCCCGCTTCATATTTAACGCGGTTGCACCATAACCACCTGCAAAACATGGAATCAACCACAACATACCACAATGAGTGCTCATTTATTAATTGTGCAATTCCAATTAGAAAGCGTTGTCTATACATAACATGCCTCATTTCTGTTATAACTGAAGCACACAAAAAATCTGCAGTATTTCATATTTCTACAGATTTTAGATATAAAAAGCAAGTGAAAAAAATAATCAGGTGTATCTCCTAAGATGAGTAACCTGGACTTCTATTCAGTAGGCAACAGAAAAATGCTCTGAAGTCTCAGAATTACCAATCTAATAACAGTGCTCAGCCTAAAAATAGCTTGCATTTGAGCATGTATGCCCATTCAAATGTTTGGACAAGTCTGCCTAGGGGCCCTATCATGCTAGAAAGCACCTTAACAGGAATCTTCAGACAGGAAACATCCCATCACCAAACCCCCAATTATATTCAAAGATTTTTAAAAATTCATTTATTAGAGACTCAAAACACATATTACAGCTCTGTCAGTAGGCTTCCTGCAGATACATTTGCTTGTTCTACTGAACCTGATTCGATATGCAAGCACTTCCACACATAGAAGGAAATAGAAGGTATTCTACCACAACTTCCTTCTTGTGTTTCAAACCCAGAAACTGGGGAAGAAAATCTGATTAAATCTGTCAAATACAAAGAGCTGGGCAGAGAAAGAGACAGATTTCCTGGACGGGATGACAGCACGTCCCCAGATGCCAATTAGGATGGGCATGGCAATGAACAACGCGGTTTGCCTTAGGTTGCACATGCCGACTTGGCAGCACCTCGGACCTTCAGCCCCATTCACCTTAAGGAGATGGGAAAATCCAGCATCACTTAGGGGGAATGCAGCTCCCTGGCCGGGCATCCCTTGGTCAAGAGAGTAGCACCACTTGAAAGTTCACCCTCGCAACACACACACACACTCTTGTCAGTAATGTTTTTGTTCTCCCCTAAGAACTTCAGAAAAACCTTTTTGGGTCGCTCTTCCCTGAGAACCTGAAAAGAGTTAAGTTTCCAAGAGGCGGCGGTTTTCCACAGGGCTCGGGGAAACACGTGCTGAGGCAGCCGTGGACACTGCGGGGACAGGTGTCTGCCGGGCAGGACGGTGCCCTGCCACACTGGGGCCGCCGGGGCCGCAGCCCCAGCACAGCCCCTGCCATCCCAGCAGCGCGGCCGCGGCTGCTCGGGCTCGGCACTTACTTCTCATGCTGAGGTCGATGGGGTTCAGGCTCGCAGCGTGAACCTTAATGATGACCTCGTTCGGGAAGTGTATGATGGGGAACATCATGTCCCTCGTGAAGCGCAGCACCTCGTTGCTGCCGTACCGGTCTATGACCCAGCTGGGCATGGCGGTCCGCGCCCGCGGAGAGGCGCGGAGCCCGCGGGCCGGTGCCCGCCCGCTCGCCCAGCGCAGCGTCCGCCCGCCCGCCGCTCCCCACGACAGCATGGCCGGGGCAGCCGGGCCGGGCCGGGCCGGGCCGCGGGACCGCGATCGGGATAAGGATCGCGATGGGGCCGGGTCGCTCCCGCGCGCCTCAGCGCTCAGCCCCGGCGGCCCCGCAGCCAATGGGCGGCCGCCTTCTTGGCCGCTCTGCCAATGGTGCCGCGCGGTGTTGCGGCAAGATGGCCGTGCGCGGCCGCCGCGCCGGGGGAAGGGTCGGGGTCGCTCGGGGGGCATGAGGAGGTGACGGCGGCGAAAGCAAGAGAGCCATGCTGCGCGCCTCTCTCCGACAGGTGAGTGGGGTCTGTCCGCCTGCCGGGGATGTCGAGGAGCGGGGCGGGTTCGCAAGGTGACTGGGGTCCCCTCCCGTCCCCTCTCCCTGGGGCGGCCCGGGAGAGCGCTTCCGTGGGCTCCTTCCCTCAGCGGGGATGGCGCTTTCTTCCCGTACCGCCCCGGTGCGGCCTCTGTCACCCCGCTGCCCTAAAAGACGCGCTGCGCTCTTAGGTGTCGGCAGCGTTGAAGGAAGGACGAGTCACTCCCACGGAGCTCTGCCAGCGATGCCTGGCCCTCATCAAAAGCACCAAGTTTCTGAATGCATACATTACCGTAACGGAAGAGACCGCTTTGAAGCAGGCTGAAGAATCAGAGGAAAGATACAAAAGAGGTATGTTGGTTTGTAAGTCATGTCAGTCCTTAAAAAGCTGCTGTGGAGGAGATTTCTGTGTTAGACGAAGCACCTGTGCTTTTTAAAGGGGGTGTCTTGGCTTCTTTGATTGTTGGGGGATGAGGCTCACGCTTGAGGTTTCTGTGGGTGCTCCTGGATGTACACTTGGCACTGAAGAGAGTATTTAGCCCAAAAGTCAGAGGGAAAATGTGGACCAGACGAGGCACTGCAGGTTAAAAAGGCTCTCTGCCTCTTGGACAGCACTGCTACTTGGTGTCTGCTGCTCCTTTCCCTCAGCAGTTCATTTGGAATGTGCAGCCAGCAGGAACCGTGAATAGGCAACTGCAGCGGTCATTCACAGGCCTCCAGACTGGGATAGGCAAACAACTGGCACAACTTGTCGAGTTTTTAATTAAGAAAGCAAATTAAAATAAAGCAGCTTCATTAATTGCAGTTAGTAATTAGAGAACAGAACAGCTTTCAGTCCTTTTATCTGCAACACTTAGAAGATGGCCATCCTCATTTTCCTTTGTGTTTCAAGAAAGGCAGGAAAGGTAAACTTTCACCTAATAGAGTACGTGTTTTCCTTCCAAGAAATGATACTTGCTGTCCTCTGGCAGCTTAATAAAATTGCCAGCCAGATTGTTTTGCTTCCTAATGTAGGCCTTTTAGTTTTCAAGCTGGCATTTTTTGTGGTGTTGTTTGTTGGTTCATGGGTTTTTCTGATGGTGGATAATCGATTACTTGGGAAAGATTTTCTCTGCTTCAGTAGTTTTTCATATCTACTATGTATGTCAGGTAGGCAGTGTTTATGGCTCCCAGCCTAGTGATGGAGTGGATTTAGCAGCACCTATGGCTGAAATAAGTACTGTGTGATCACATTGGGAGAGATATGGACTCCTTTGAGAAAAAACCTGCCTGGTCTGGAGAGCTTAGACACATTCACAGAGCTCTGCTCTGTGAGGCCAGGTCTGGCTTGGGCAGAGTGCTCAATGCTTGAGTTGGGAGTGGAGGATAGTTCTTGAAAATGGAACAGACAACCATCATATACCAATTGGAAAGCAATCTTGCTTCCAAAAACCATCCAAAGGGACATGTAAAATAAACAGTAATTGATGAGAACATTATATATATAGCACATTTTGCTTTAATCTCTATTGTTCTACAATCATTCCTAATGCAGGTCAGCCACTGGGCATTCTCGATGGAATTCCTATTGCTGTAAAAGACAACTTTAATACAACTGGCATTGAGACAACATGTGCATCAAGGATGCTAAAAGGTACAGTAAAGCTTTTAAAGTAAAATCAGATCTTTTGCTCTTTAGAGGGTTTAAAGACTGGAGTCTTCCAGAAATCCAAGTATTTTCAGAAAATGAGCTGGTATCATTTGGGGAAATACATTTATCTAATTTCACTAGCCAGGTTCATCTGGTATTAGAGATGGATCCTTTTTTTCTTCTTAGCATATTATCTCTTTATTTATATTTGTATGCATTTAACAACAGTTATAATAAAACCCTATATACTGCAATAAAATGGTTTGAAAGTTTGCATTTTCCTTCACTTTGCTTTTAGGTCTAGAGGAGAGCAGTCAGTGCTGTTCTGCCTAGTGAAATCCAAAGACAGTCCTATTTTGTTGTTGTTCTGTTTATAGTTGTTGACTTAAATAGTTTGAAAAAACTGTAGGAAAAGTAGAATGTGAACAATCCCAACATAAAATTACGTTCTATAATGCTTTTAAGGCATTTTTTAAAATTTCCTAAACTCACTGTTTCTATTAACAAGTCATGAATGTTTTCAAGGCATTACAATGTTTTTGTAGTAAAAGCAGAAGTAGGAGACGTTTCTTTTATCTGTTTTATTCTGCACGAAGTAAAACTTTGTATTAACCCTTTTGGAAGATAACAGAAATAAATTAGCAGATCTCTAATTTGATTGTGGTTTTTTTAATTGCAGAAGAAACAAAAAAAGACTCCACTGTTGTAAAAACTGTTATACTACATGAGATGCTTTTCCTTAAAGCACGTTCTCAGACCTGTTGTGATTGATTGGAATGAGTATTAGGGGTGATGTCCTTGTTCCTGGTGAAGGTGGGAGTGGAGAAGCCCCTGTCATCACTCACAGAGTGAATTGGTTACTACCTGAGGTCTCATGTCACTATCATAGTTCTCATCCTAGGTTATGTAAGGTCCGAGTGGTAACGACAACTTCAAAATGTTCAGAGTAGCTGCTTGTAAAAATAATTTGTGTCTCACCAGTTGCTCTTAATTGTTCTGTTTGTTTTCAGGTTATATTTCTCCTTACAATGCTACAGTAGTTCAGAAATTACTGGATCGGGGAGCTGTGCTTTTAGGTAAAACAAACCTAGATGAATTTGCAATGGGGTGAGTGATGTTTGTTATTTTTAATGTGTTGATTTTACATGAAATAACATATATACTATCTGTTCCAATCTACCTGTAATCCTGAGCTCCTTTTTCCGTGAGGCAAGACAACAATGAATACTTACTGGAAGGGTACACAGAGCTGCATGAACTTCTCCCTCAGCGTTTGTAGTGTTGTGTAAATGATACAGACGCTGAGTTTTATGAACATAGTGTTCAAATGTAGCTGTGCTTGAGAGGCAGGAAGCGGTCCAGCTTTTGCAGAAGGCCAAGGACAAGTGGCCTTCTTGTAGATTCAGTAGTGTGTTAATAAAATTGGTTACAACACAGTTAATTGCTGCCTTTTCCTCTCTCCTTACTGACAGCTTTTTGCCCTTATGTAATTGTTGTCACGCCCCCAATTGCAGTCACTACCTCTGCCAGTCGGCCACTGGAGTAATTTATATGGGTACTCCCTGGCTTGCTGCACATAGGCTAATTGAGAGCAAGGCTTTTAAGTTGCCTAAGCTAACATTGGTGACTTTTTGTCAGGAGCACATTGAAAAATGCTCCTACAAATTGATTCTTCCACAAATCAGTGAAGGCAGCCAAGCTGTAGCAGAGAACAGCATTGGGCTGTTAGGGATGGGAATTACTGCTAAGTTTCGAAGGGAATCTCTGGGACTTTAGTTACCTGTGAAAAACAGTAAATGCTGTATTTTGGTTCTATTATACGTAAATCAAAGTCCAAGGTTTGATTGGAAATTCCTGTGAATGAGGTGGAAATACATTGACAATATTGTTTTGAATTTTTGTGTAAAAAAGCTATTCCTCAGAGGAAGTGCAGGCAAAAAGCTTGTGAAAAACCTGATAATGCAGGATTACAACTAGTCTAAGTTCATTAAAGCACAGGATTCTGCTAAAAAGCTTATCCTAATACTGGCTTCTCATTCTGGTCTGTGTGTTTGTGTGATCTCTTGATCAGGGAGCGGATCCAGCTCTAAAGCAATGATGTCTCAATAAGGCTGCTTTTAACTGCAGTCAGCTGCCTGTTTTGTCTGATGATTTAGCTGGTAACACTGGCACCTTGCAGTCAGGGAGGGTGTGGGGTAGAGGGCCTGAGGAAGGAGGAAAGTATGCCCTACCCCTGCTTCTGGTGGCAACTCACATCTAGGTGACACAAGCTGACTGAAACCAGTTTCTGAGAAGCCAGTCTGGCATTCTGAAACAGTGAACTGTGGCCTCTGCAGAGGGCTACAGGGTGAATAAGAGTGTGGCATTTCAGAAAAATGTGTGTTCCTGGTATTGTGGAGTTTTTTCTCCACCTGTTGCAGCATGTTTTTCCTCACAACTGTGATCTTGCATCAAAGGCAGGGCTGGAAAAACAGAATTCCTTGGTTTTGAAAGAGATGTGCTCCTGTACTTCTACATGCCTTAAATCAGTTTTATGTCTTTGTGACTCTGTTCATTTCAGTGGCAGAAGTCAGAAAGAGGTACCAGTTCAGGTTGTGTCAGAAATAATGAACAGCTATAAATTTTGCAGTTGTATATAATGTAGAAGTTAACTGCATAACGATTTACGTACACCAGTTTTCTTGTGTTGAATTTGCAAGGATGATGAGGCATTGGATTTTGAAAATGAAATTGGTGAATACAGTGTGTCATTTGTCACTTCTGTCTGTATTTGTCCTGTCTATCTTAGATCTGGGAGTACAGATGGAGTATTTGGACCAGTCAGAAATCCCTGGAGTTATTCAAAACAGTACAAGGAAAAGTCTGTCCCAAAATCCCATTCTGAAGACAAAGAGTCTGACTGGGTAATAACAGGAGGGAGTTCAGGAGGCAGTGCAGCTGCTGTGTCGTCTTTCACATGTTTCGCGTAAGAGACTTTTAAAATTGTCATTCCCTAAATGTCTCAAAATATGTTGGAATGTTTTAATTTTATAATTTTCTCATAAGCTAGAATGAAATAGGAGGGTTATTGGCACTGGCATGCAAAAATTTCAGCATCCCTAGATTATTTGTGGCATATCATGAAGCTAGAATTAGTCCATGCAGGCAAATTTAGATTTACTAATTTCAGGCATTATTCAGTGGTATGAGCACTTGGCACTGCATGAAATAAAATTATGATGGCACTAAAGGAGTGACAGTTTTATTCTTATTCCCACGTAATCCCTCTAAAAAGTCTTACAGGGTTTGTGACACATCCTCTTCCTCACTAATTGCATTACACAAATACACACTGAAAATGTAATTTGGCAAATTAAGAGATCCCTTGATTTGTGACAGTACAATAATCTTTCCTCCACTCCTTTGTTTTTACAGCATAGTTATGTAATAGTACATGAGATTTGGGACCTAAAAGCTCTCAAATCCCATACTCTTAACAATAGAGTACAGAGTACTTATTCTGTAGATACTTACAGACTTCCCTGTTTTAAAGTTAGTTTTATTGTTGGTTTTGGGTTTTTTTTAGCCAAGTGTGTCTTTATGGTTGTTTGGAGTTTTTTTCCTAAAGGAATTTAAACAAGCTGGAATTTTTTTTAATAGTAATTATTAACTGTATGGAATAGCAACACACTATTAAGCAAATCAGTTGTCTGTCTTCCCCATCTGACTGTTAAAACTGATCACCAACCTTTACACCTTGCTTTTTATGCAATTTTTAGAGCTACATGTTGGAGCATGTTTTATAGAAGATTATTTCAATTGTGCTCTTCATTGGAAGGTGTTTAAAAATGCTCTTTTGTTATTTTATCCTTGTTTACCCATAGACTATATGTTAAGCATCTATTTTGTTGTTAAAATATTCTTGCTAATGTGGATTACACCTGTTTAAATTACTTTTTAAAATAATATATCTCTTCATCTCCTTACACTTTACTGGGATGTAACCTACACAACATTTTAACACTGTTGAAATTGAACTCTCTGTAGCCATTCCCAATGACTGCTGGTCCTCATCCTCAGCCAGAATGGGCTGATCCTAAGAGGGTCTGGCACCTTTTCCTATGTTGCTGGGCTTCCATTTTGCACTGCTCAGCACAGTGTCAGATCAGGGAGATTTTTTGTCCAGCTCTTTTATTGCATATAACATATTGTATATCCATCCTATTAGTGTCTTTCAAGCAGCAGGAATGCTGCCAGTCTTCACATTTTCAATTTGAGATTTGGATGTCCAAAAATGCTATAAAACTGAGGCTGTTTTCCATCAACACAGAGGCTTTGAAATAAATTCCACTTCAGGAAAGTCAGTTGAATTGGTTCAGCCATCTCAGAAACAAATGGCTATGGGAAAAGTCATATACTCACTTCAGTAAAAATTATACCTGTTCCTGAAGTTTAAATTGGTTTTGGCAAAGATTTGAATGAAAACTGCTTTTTTTTTTTTTTTAATGCTGCTTGAGTTAAATTTATTAAAATCAAGAAAACAGCATGTTTCATTTCAATACCATTTTTGAAATAAAAAATTCGATTTTGAAAGAACAAGGTTTCACCTGTGAATAAAAAAAAATCTAAAATAATAATAATAGTGTTTTAATTGTACCTAAGCTACCGTAAACTGGAAGTTGTGATCAATCTTTGTGGATTTGGAAACAGGGAAAATCTTTCCAAAGTGTGCCTTCTTAGGGACAAGAAGTGTTGCTCTTCATTTTTATCCTGGAAAATGCTGATTCATGGTGCATTGGCTACACAATAAATAAGGTATCAGTGCTGAAAATTATTCCCTAAATCACATGAGATATGTCAGTTGGAGTCCACAGTATTGGAACAGAGAAGGCAGAAGAAGATATTTAGGGCCATTTACAGATGGTCTGAATTCTACCTAGTCTGCCTCTGCTTTGTGAAGAAAACTGGATTCTCCTAATGGCAAATTCAGAGACCCTAAGAAAAATCAGAGAACAAATGAAAAATAGACATAGAGAGCAGACTGGAATTTAGGCTGTGTGATTACAACTTCTGATCTGGAAGAATTCACGGAGTTTTAAATCCATGCATCTTAAAGCCACACTTTCTTATGATCTGGAAATGTTCTGAATTCTCTTACTAATGATGATCCTTTTGAAACCATAGAGCCTTAGGGTCAGACACAGGAGGATCTACCCGAAACCCTGCTGCTCATTGTGGTGTTGTAGGTTTAAAGCCAACATATGGACTGATCTCTCGCCATGGTCTCATTCCTCTAGTGAACTCCATGGATGTGCCAGGAATCCTAACCAGATGTGGATGACGCAGCAGTTTTGTTAGGTATTACTATGTCGTACATCTTTGTTTACAACATTTCATCAGAACAAACTGAATTCTGAATTAAAACGTTTAACTAATTTACGTTTTCCTGGTCTTCACATGTTGTGTCCTATATCAGGTTCACTTGCTGGACATGATCCTAAGGACTCTACCACAATTCAGGATGACTTTAAGCCGTTTGAACTACCTGATTTGACTGATGTCAGCAAGCTTTCAATAGGAATTCCAAAGGTAACATTTAAATCCTGTTAACAGCCTTGGACAGGAAGAACAAATAAAAGACACATAACAAAAAAAATACTTGTGTCTGGCTCAGTCTTCCATAATTTGAAACTGTGAAGACAGTAAAAGCAGCTCCTGGAAAAGAACGGTATGTGTGTGCTCTGTTGCCTCTCCAGGCAATTTGGAGTAGCATACACTAATGCATCATCTAAAACATGTTGTTGTCATGGTGGGAAGCACTGTCAGGAACTTCAGGGGAAATGGAGAACTTCAGTTCTTGGTTCTCTCTGTTGCTCTTTCATTAGTCCACTCTGTAACTTCAAACAAGTTGCTCTTGATGCCTTCCAATGCAGTGAGCTTGGTACTGGTTTGTGCAGAGCTTTGAGATATTTGCCTAAATGGCACTGTTAATATAGAGCAGAATTTTAAAGGCAATTGTATGGCACAAGGAGCTGTCATTTGCAGAGTTCTAATAAGAACTGAAAGACATCTGTAATTTGGCATCTGATGTATGCAATTCAATCATGTTTGTAACTGTAAGTGTACTTGAAATTTAGGAACAAAATTTGGGACTTCAGCCTATTTTTAATTTAATAAAGGCTCTGCCTTCAAAGGGCAATGTGAATAACATTCATTAATTGGATTCTCAGTATTGGAACCTAAGCTAGAACAGCCATACCAAAAGTTTTAATTTGGTAAGCAGAGATGTTTACTGGCCAATTATTCACCATCTGTGAAATGGAAAAATTACATGCCTATAAAATTGATAGCTGGTTACTGTTCAAATCTTGATAAATCTAAAATGATGATATTGGTTAATTTTTCCTATCCTTTGGACAGTTTTTTTTCTACTACTACAGGTTATTCTAAACAAATACATGTATACATTAAACATGGGTCATAGCTATTCAGAAATCAGATAGTATTACGACCCTGATATTATGGGTTAGAACTAAAGTAAGTATCTTCAAAAATAAGGAATTTTAATAGAATGTCTATCATTTGGCTGTGAAGTAGGAATGTAGCTAATCTAAGTCTTCTCCCAACCCTTTGATTGTAGTTCTTCTTTGGCGGGTAGTTTTATTTGTTTCACCAAGGTGTGCCAGCTGCCACTGATAATGCTGTGGCCATTCATTTTTATCTTTCCTGCTTGCAGCAGCACTAGTTTTAGGATTTAGACCTGAAGAATTTCTACCCGTGACTGCAGAGCAGTGCAGTGTAGTCTTAAGAGATAAATAAGGGGATAACGGGGCAATTACTCCTTCAGAAGAAACTGCTGAAATTCCATGATCTGTGTTACATATGTTGATCCTACTGAGATGAACGTAATACTCTTAGGAAGACTGAAACCTGTTACCTAATACTCCTTGATTGTATAGGATTTAGTAGATACAAAAAGCTTTAATAAGTACTTTAAATCGTGTAGTGGTGAGATAATGGTTTCAGTGTATTTTTAGCAAAGAGTATTTGTGTTTTGGTTGCTATTAGAAGTAAACCAGTGTGTGAAATAACTCCTCTTCCTGTTTTTCCTCTAAGGAATATAATGCACCAGGACTGTCTAGTGAAATTCTGGCTCTCTGGTCAAAGGCGGCTGACCTGTTTAAGAATGCAGGTGCTAAAGTGCTTGAAGTGAGCCTACCACACACTCGTTACTCAATTGTCTGCTATCATGTGCTGTGCACTGCAGAAGTGGCATCAAATATGGCCAGGTTTGATGGACTGGAATATGGTAAGGCCTCTGAAAAAACTTTTTTCTCAGACAATAGAAACATTGTTGGATGCCATGTAAAAGTGTCAGTTTTCGTAGATTTGCTTTTCATGGTTGGATGCTTGATGTTATTTCTCCAAGATGGAATATAGTAAAAAAACTTGTGCAGATAAAAATGTGTAAATAAATACATAATATATTTCACTACTAGGCATATCAGTGTCTGGACTCAAAATCTAGTTCATTATTTCCATCACAAAACAGGAATATGTTTCGTTGTTCTTCCAGAATAGTAGCATGTCAGACTGCAGCAAACAGTGGCCTATTGTACTACTATGACGTTATTAAATCTTAAGGAGTACAAGAAGTATTGGTACCCAAAATGGCTTTTCTTTTCAGGACATCGTTCTGACGTGAAGGATTCCACCGAAAGCATGTATGCTGCAACACGGCGAGAAGGCTTCAATGATGTTGTAAGAGGAAGGATTCTATCAGGAAACTACTTCTTGTTGAAACAGTAAGCAGAATATCTTGAAATTCAGCTTTTCCACGTTAATGAATTCTTGAGCAAATGGTGATTAATTGTTCATCATGATATGAAAAAGAAATTGCCCTTACACTAGTAGCTAGTAGTTTGTATTTTTATTATTGCTTTAGCTCTGTAATACCTAGTGAACTGTTAATAATGAACAAAAATGTTTTCCCTGAGTCTTACCAGTGAGCCTCCTAAATTAAGTAAGTAAAGCAACTTAGTATTATTTTTTCCCCTACCAGAGCATTATTGGCATCCATTAGTTAAATTAGGCAGAAATCTACCCTATGGTATGACATTGAAATCATACTGAAGTCATTACTGTCCTAGTGTTAGAAGTTCTGTAGCTGTTAATCTCATTAAAACTGCATAGAAAAACTGCTGGTACATTGTAGGGAGGTTTTCTAGAGAAAACCAGAGACATAGCAATTAAATTTTAACTGCAGCTCTCTGCCTCAATGTACAGGGAAAGAGAAGCATTGGCAGAAGCACTGAACCGGAGTCCTTACAGAAGTCAGGTCTTTATCCAGCTCACATAGAGAAGCTGGTGCATGCATCAAATTTAGCAGTCCAAATTTATGTTAGTAAAAGTGCTGTTTTTCTCTGTCTGAATTTGTTTAGATACTAACAAAAATATTAGGAGTGTAATCAGTCTCTGTAGTGCACTTGCTTTGAAAGAGCTCTGTCAGCAGGAGTATTCATCAGATGTGACTTCTAATTGCTCTCAGAGACAGGAATGTTGTCAGTCAATCTGTAACAACCAGCTTTTATGGAATGCCGAAATTCCTGCCAAGTGTGCTCTCTCTGCTTACAACTGTCCAGATCAGCTTTCCTAAGGCTGCTTTAAAATTCACATAGTTAACTCTTCTGTGAAGGAATACACAGTTATCTTCCACCGACATGTAACAGGAAGAGCTGTGTTCCTATTCCACAGTAAATTACTCTTGAAGAACAGAGTGCAGGGTTCAGAAAGCATTCTTAAAGTAGTAGAGAAAACCCAACTGTGCCTCCTGCAAATATGTTGCCTTTTACAGCTGATTTTTATCTTGCTTTTCCAAGTTCTAAAATGACTAGGTGATTGTTCAGGAAGTTCTCTTTAACACCTTTAGAGATGACATGGACAAAGGGGATAGAGTCCTCCCTCAGCAAGTTTGCAGACAGCTGCAGTTTGAGTGGTAGTGTTGATCTGCAAGAGGGCAGGAAGTCTCTGCCGAAGGATGTGGACAGGCAGGGCTGAGGCTGATTGTATGAGGTTCTACAGGGCCAGGTCCTGCCCTTGGGTCACAACAACCCCAGGCCGGGGCAGAGTGGCTGGAAAACTGTCAGGGGAAAAGAACCTGGGGCAGCAGCTGAACACGGGCCTGCTGTGCCAGGTGGCCAAGAAGGCCAATGGCATCCCAGCCTGTATCAGCAACAGTGTGGCCAGCAGCACCAGGGCAAGGATTGTCCCCCAGTACTCAGTATTGGTGAGGCCCCTCACAATAAGGAGGACATTGAGGTGGCAGATCATGTCTAGAGAAGGGCAACAGAGCAGGTGAGGTGTCTGGAGCACAAGTCTGATGAGAAGTGGCTGAGGGAGATAGGAATGTTTAGCCTGGAGGAGAGACCTTATCACTCTTAACTACCTGAAAAGAGGAGGTGGGAATCAGTGTCTTCTCCCAGGTAACAAGTGATAGGAGAAGAGGAAACAGCCTTAGGTTGCACCCTATGATGTTTACATTGGATAATAGGAAAAATGTCTTCACTGTAAGGGTTGTCAAGCATTGCAACAGGCTGTCAAGGGAAGTGGTGAACTCCCCATCCCTGGAGAGATTTAAAAAACATGTAGATGTGGCATTTAGGGACGTTCTGAAGTTAACAGCTAGGTTCATTTCTGAAGTGATTGTAGGAAAAAGTCTTATTCCCATTATATAACTTACTAACTTGAATCTGCTTTTCATTGATTATAACCATTTTCATTGCTATTTTTTGGAATCTTAAATCTTTATTCTAAGAAAATGGTTAGGCAGTTGCAGTTGTTCTACCTGTAAATATTCTGGCATGTAGCAGTTGGTAATGCACCACTCCATTTTTCTTTCACTTTACTTTTTTTTTCTTTCCCAAATAGCTGAGGGTTTAGATGACAGTTACTTTTGAAACTGAATTTCTCTGAATTTAAGATTCCATATTTATCAGTTCTGCATATTAAGTTAAAAGGAAGGATAGACATAAAGTTGACTAATGTGTTTCTATTTTAGAGTTGTATAAAACCAAAAATCCACAGACCACGTGTTTACATGAGGAGAAAAACAAGGGTAAAGATAAGGTCTTTATAGTGTTCTACAGAGAAGTATATTACAACCACATACATAGTTTTAAATCCATTTGGAGTTCTCCACAGATGATGGGACATTTTCATATGCTTCAAGGATCTTGCTGGATTGAATCCTAAATGGTTAATTCCTATTTTTCAGACATGTGTAGTTCTGTATTTTCTAGACTTAACTGTGCTGCCCTACAGTGAAATTAGGTTAGATAGCAGCTTTTCACCCAGAGGGTGGTTGAGCACTGAACAGACTCCCTAAGGAAGTGGTCACAGCACCAAGCCAGTCTGTGCTCTCAGGCACGTTGTGTAGTTCTTGGGGTGTCCTGCACAGGGCCAGGAGTTGGACTCCATTATCTTGATGGGTCCTTTCCAACTCAGCATTTTCCATGGTTTTGTGAAATTCAGAACTCAATTTAGTTTCCAAATGGTCATAAATGTGTTGTTTTGATTTTCAGTTAATCATTGTAAAGTAGGGTTTTGTTTCCCCTTTACCTTTCTTCAGCTGTATGCCCTCATTTCTTCCTTCTCTGACAGGTCCTCTGCTATTAGAACATAAACACGTGTGTTTAAGCTATCAGTGTGAGTCCAGATTTTATCCAAAAAGATTACTGGGCTTGTCTTTTCCACAGTAACAAGAAATAAAGTTCTTTATTTTTGGAATTAAAGTGTCAGGCCTTTATGTTCCTATTCCTTTCTAGGAACTATGAGAAGTACTTTGTCAAGGCACAGAAAGTGAGACGTCTCATTGCCGATGACTTTGTGAAGGTTTTCAGGAGCGGTGTTGATATTTTACTCACTCCCACCACTCTGAGTGATGCAGCTCCATACACAGAATTCATCCAGGAAGACAACAGGACCCGAAGCGCTCAAGACGACATCCTAACACAGGCTGCAAACATGGCTGGTGAGTAGGGACAGGAACTCAACTTGTTTTCCTCTGCCTAGTCATTTTAAATGTCCAGTCCCTTTAGGTATTTAACCTTCTCTTTAGAATCAAAATATTTCATCCCCGTGTAAGTCTTACAGTGGTAACTGAGTCTAAGGACAATTTATTAAATGCTTGAAAATGTAAGATCAGATTTTAAAGCAGGGCACCTTGGGGCTGAGTGTGGGCTGCAGGTAAGATGTTCCAGAGACAGAAATCTCTTTCATAAGGAGAGCTTATTGTCTTTTTCAGAGGATGCTGACCTCTTAAATATCTCTAAGTAATTTCTTCTGATCATCTAGCATTCAGTTCATTGCATCAAATTATTTTGGCTAGTTTTTTCCTCTACATAATTTTTTTCTTGTTCTCTTAAAATTGATAAAAAAATTACTGTAGGGTTTAATAGTACGTATTTGCATGTGTATTTGTTTTCTTTCAGGACTGCCAGCCATAAATGTTCCTACAGCCCTTTCAGAGAGAGGCTTGCCAGTTGGGCTTCAGTTCATTGGACGTTCATTCCAGGAGAAGCAGCTTCTCACTGTAGCCAAATGGTTTGAAAAACAAGTACAATTCCCAGTGATTCAACTAGAAGAAGTAAAGAGGCATGACAATGGTGTCTGTCAGCATCAGAAGTCTGCTTCTTTTTCATAGCCTGGGACTTGCTAGTCAGCTAGAGCAAGAAAGCTGTGGGCATGGTCAAGAAATTAATTTATGCAGTTAACTGTCTTCTGCAGAAGTAATAATCTGTTTTAAGAAGACGTTATGCAGTAATGCACACTGGAATCACAGCAGCTTGTTACGGTGTAATTAAGGCAAAGTGAATCATTAAGTAAACATTACCATGTTATTAAGAGCCATTTCTTATTGATATTAAAAACATCAAATTGAAATTGTGTATGTTATGCCTCTGAAGTTGATTTTTTAATCTGACCAGTTAAAGAACTAACCTGAAGTTTTGTGTGAAAACGTCATGGTTGCCAAAGGGCTTGGTTTCCTTCTGGAGTGTAGACTTCTGTAACAACCATAACCAGACAAGCTCTGTTGGAACAAAGGTATCAAGGATCTATTCACCAAGAGTTAAATACAAAAGGAAATAAGGGAATAACATAGAACAATAGAATCCTTTAGATTAGAAAAGACTTTTAAGATCATCAAGTCCAATCCACCACTATGAAGTTCACCACTCAGTCATACCCCTAATGCTCCATCTACACAGCTGTTATGTGATGCTTATTGAATGAAGTCATGAGAAAGCTAAATCACACCTGCATTTAGATCCCTGTTTTATCAAAATTCACTATGTGGAAATGTTAGTTCATTCTAAAAACCAAAAATATTCCCTATTTCTACCTAACTTGTGCAGGAGGTGAAAATAACCTCTGGGTTTACAAATCATGTGGCTTACTCTAGTTATATCAGTGTAAGAATGATTAATTCCAGATATCTTCCGAGGAAAGGTGTAGTAGGAGTACCTGAGTAGTTATTTTCTTCCATTGTCACTGTTCTTTAAAATCAACACTTAAATACTAAGAAAAAGACCTTACACAGTGTGACTCCCTGTAGGAATAATACCATCTATTCCTTCATGGACAGTCATTCAATACAATAGTAATTGTATTGTAACTGAATTTCCAAACCATCATCTTGTAGACTGGAAGACTTACTGAAGAACTATTAACCTGTTTCAAATGTTGCAGTTTCCATTTCTTCATAGTTAAAAACATGAAGGATGAAGTTTGCAGATGTTTTGCATCAGATTCACTTTCAGTCATAGTCTATAGCATGCAAAGTTGTAAAATGTATAGAGGGAGGAAAATGACTGAGGTGGAATCTCCTATAGAAACATAAAGAATCTTCCTGAATCTCATCATATGTATTGTATTGTCACCCATATAAAAACCTTATTTCTAAAAATTGCAGATGAATTGGTGAATTTTCTATATGCCAAAGTGAGCTTTTTCAATACCTTTCCCACTCGATTAAAATGTTACACAACTAAAAACCCCACATTTAAAAAGCTAAATTATATTTTTAAATACTAAAAATCAAGGTGCAGCCTATTTTCAGCCTCACTCTTATCTTTTTCCATAGAACAGTCTTTGGGGAACTTGCTTTTTCTATTAGTGGGTGATGATGAATTGAGAATCCTAATAAAATGTTTTCACTAATGTGAAATTACTTGTTCAGTAATTTCGGTGTGCTGTAATCATGCAGGTGTGTCTTACAGCAGCTTGCTGACCAGAGCTCTCAGTGAGGTTATCCAAGTTGCTGTACCTGGATATATATTTACAATAGCCACTCTTTGATGTGCACATCCCAAACCCAGGCCTACTACTTGCTGTTTATGGAAGTAAAGGTCAGTGTCTTTGGCCCAGAGTTTGAGATAAAATCCTGGCTGTGGAGAGCATTCCTGGAGAGACATGAAGCACCTTAGAGCATTGCAGAGAACAAGCTGAGGACTGTGCTTTCCCTTGGAAATTAATTCTGGACTGACTTCTGAGCTTCTGGAAGATCACTACTTATGCTTAGCAATCTTTCTCCTAAAACTTCCTCTGATGTAAAGAGAGATCTGATGGGAAAACTGGATCAAGGTATAGATCCCTACTCCATGTTTCTCAAGCAGTTAGTTAGAGGTGGGGTAGGTGGAGGCTCCTGGTATCTGCACTACCTTTTTTTTTTATAGTGGGGCTCCAGTTCCAGTCTGCAGAACCCTCTAAAGGAGCATTCAGAAGATCATAGTGATGACCTGTTCTGACACAGATCCTTCAGAATTTCTGCTGCTGGCAGATTTCTGAGTATAGAACGACTGTGTGGGGAAATATACATTGGGGGAAGTACCAACCAACCAACCAGACACCCATTCTGCCTGGCATTTGTAACTGTATGTTAGCTGTTGAATTAACAATTGTAGGGACTTAAACTCCTGTGTAGATACTTAAATTTCTGGGCTATCAGATTCACAGCAGCCCCAACAAGGTTTCTGTCCTCCTCCCATTCCTAGCTGGTTTGCATTTTTGGGGACCATATGCCTATATGGTCTTTCTGCCCTCCCCTTTCTAAGGCTGGAATTTCATCAAACCAGAGACAAGAACCTAGGAATCAATTTTGTCAAGCTGCTGGAGGATGTAAGCAAGAGTTCCTTACACTGCAGGAGAAGAGCTGAGAGACTTCTGCTGTCTTCATATTAGAAAAACTGGTAGTTGACTCTGGAGTCCCCAGCAGCTCCCAAAGGTGTCTAACACCCCCACCTACCTATAGGTACTGTGGTTGTGAGCAGAGCTTTGTGCAGCTGCTCCCAGTGCCAAGTGACAGCTCCAGAGTTAGGAACAGGAAAATTGCTATGCCAGATAATTAGACTCTCAAAACACCTTAGTTACAGAAGCACAGGAATTCCAAGGAGCACGAAGGTCTGGAGGTAAAGAAAATAAAAGAAAAAAGGAAAAACCCAAAACCCTGCCTGTGCAAACATTTTGTACAGCTGTCTTGAAAAACAATTCACTGAAATAATAGAGTTGGAAGTTTCATGGCATTGCAGCACGGTCACAGTGGGAGGTAGGTGTAACCTTAGCACACATTGAGCCCAGATAATTCCAGTGTTTCCTGAAAGAAACAAAAGCTAGAGCTTTAGCAAACAAGCAATCTGGGTTTTGGTGCAAATTGTTTTTTCTTCAGGTAATGAGAACCTGTAAGGACATTGTCTAGTGGAAAAGCTTTTTTTGAGAAGAAAATCGTTAAGAGCTTTTGCTTAAGATATTTTTAAATACAATTGCCATTTGAGATTGCACTTTATGCAGTTTCCACATACGAGTTTTTCCCTCACCTTCTTTAAGAGCACTCATAAAAAGGAGAAATTCAAAGCAAAATTTATCCTGAGTGCTGTTCTTTCTCTGTTCCTGCATTTCTAGTTTTCAGGTATCATGCACTTAATAGTAGCTACGAATTCATTATAACTTCCATTTCTCCATGAGTTTTATGATTCACCCAGGAACTAACCTGTGGAAAGCTGCAACAGGGAATGGGCTTTGTATACCCTACCTGAGGAATCCCACAGGCCTCCCCCTCAGCTCCGCCTCCCAGAATACTGAGAGCAGTACCTACCACTGGACTCACATACAGATGGGCAGCTGAAAAGGGAGAAAAAGGTGTGCACAGCATGCCTAAAAATCTCAGCTGGAGTTTCATGGCAGTCGTGCTTCATGTTGAACTGATGCCCACAATGCCACCAGAGAAAGCACAGAAATAAGCAAAAAAGGCAGAGGAGCAGAAAAGGTTTACCTAAGTTGGTTATTTTTCTGTCTCTCAAATGTAAGAAAGAAGGTATCAAGTTACAGGAATGTTAGACAGCAACAAATGAAAAACACAATCTTCTTAATTAGCTCACCACACCTTTGACTAATGTCCAGATGCAATTAAGTGATTCTAAGCTAACTTTTCTTTGTAAGCAGAAGAAAGGGTTTTTTTCCCACCCAGCACAGGCATCTTCATGTACCTGCTGTTGAACAGCAGTAAAAGGTGTCTTTAGCTCTGGGGTGCAGGGGAATCAGTGAAAGCAGCAGGAATGCAGCCAGGGCACTTTGCCATGTCCTGTCCATTTTACAGCGCAGGCTATGGTCTGGTACCCACACAGTAAGGGTAAAAGTGCTATAGAGAGTCACAAGCCAAGTCTGCAGCACAAATATGTGATGAAATGGACTTCAAAGAGCTGGAAATAGATAACCTTTTTCAGCTGAAGAGACTGTTCTTGTATGTCACTGTGTTTTGACAGCCAGCGATGAAAGGATTTGCGTGTCCTGCCTTGCAGCACTGATAGTGACACATGGCTAACACCATTTCCAAAGGGGAGACAGGATCCTGCACTGCAGTGTATGGAGGAAAAGAAGTAGGCACTTCGTTGTGCCACCCAGGAGGGGACGTTTCAGCTTGGGAAGTGACACTGAGAAGCACAGAAACATTGTCTAGGCAAGGTGAGAAACATCAGGAGGTAGAAAGCCTGCAAAAGAGGGAAAGGATTGCCATAAAAGCTGATAACTCATTCAAGTAGCCAGACCTGGGAGAGGAAGATAGAAGAGATAAAGGACATGGGGATGAGGAAGCAGACAACATCTCAGAGGATTCTGAGTTGGAAAGAACCCACAAAGCTCATCAGAAGTATTCTGGTGAAGGAGGGGCCCTGACCTCATGTTCCTAAGTTGAAATCTTTGAAGGTGGGTACCTTTTATAAATTGTACCTCTCTGAACCGAGAGGCAGCTTGATTTAGTCCAAGATCAGGGTGTTTAAGACTTGCCTTCACCAGCTTTTAGTGCCAAGGCAAGTGCTACTCAAGCACATATAACATCTGACACAGATACACAAAATATAAAAATCAAAACATGTTATTAACAATGTACTTCAGGAAACCTAGGAACACACTGCAAAAGGGATCATGTGGGATTGAATTCTCTACATAGATAATGATTTCATACAGTCATCTCCATTATTAAAATCAAACAAGTATTTTTGGTATCTTTCTTCTATTAATATTCAAGAACCTTTTGTTTAGAAACTTAAATCACAGCCAAGCCACACACACCTATTTACTCAAGGCAATATTGGTTTTTTTGTTTAAATATGCCTTCTCACTTGATGTGTTTAATTCATTCTTGTATTTATAGAGCACAGTTACATTCTTCCTTAGCCTTTATTCTGCTAGAACAGTTTACTCCTGTATATTAGAGTACCCTGTGCTAATCCCTGCAGCCATTCACTGCACCTGCTCCAGCTGAATCCATGTCTTCCAACATAGGTGACAAGTATTCTAAAGGCAATTCCAGGTGTAGGCTTATGAGCACAACAGCATTAATATTTCCCTGTCACTCCAGAAAAATTATTCTCCAGAACACTCTGGAATCACACT